TACACTAAAAATGAAGACTAACGACAAGTGTATCAACCAAACATCAACCAATGATCAGTTGAACTTTCGAAATTTATACGATGAACAACTAGTTACTCATAAGTAGTACAGTTTCATTTTTAAAAACTTCAATTTGGTTTCTCTTGAGTTTTTTATGTAATTAGCTATGGGATACCTCTACACCTTTATTTAAGCGAGTATAATTACATTTTGTGATTATTCAAATATTTATTCAACACTTCAGCACTTTTTCGCATAAAGAATGTAAGTAAGAGAATGGTAAGCGGCGCCCACTAGTCGAGCCCGGTTAGTTCAGTCGATAGAGCATCAGACTTTAACAACGTTCCACTGCCTGACGTTGGTCTATTGCCTTGTGCATTAGAGCTTTAGGTAGAAGGCTCTGGATGTGGCATCCTAAGAAAATCACCTGCTTAGGTTTGAGCACCAGGACAGCATCCTAGCTCTCACACAAATCAAATGATTTATGTGGTGCCTCCTTGTATCAATGTTTATGTGTTTAAATAAATAAATAATAAATGTATGTAATTCACTTCATTCTTTAAATGTATATATTTCTCCGTTGTTGATGTTAAAAAAAGCAGTTTATTAGTTTCTGTAAACATATGTGCATCCTGAGCACATCGCTGCTCTATAGTCTATAGTCATCAGTTTCTATTCTACGAATTGTGATATGTGAGTAGCAGTATAATTCAAATCAGAAGACTTGGTAGAAGTATAATGTACTTTGTTCCAGCCTCAGTGTGAATATTAACATTGGGATGTGAGTACACTCAACTGAAGAACCTTACAGAAGATAAAGTGTCGACCATGACCCCACTACTAATCCCATATTAAAATGTTATTTTGATACTGTTAAGACTTTTGTAGAAAATCCACAAAATTTTATTATTCATTATGAATCATCAATTTTCTATGAACATTTGAGTGGAGATGTTGATAAATTACCGACTTTCAAAAATGAAGAAACGTTATAATCTATGCAAAATAGTACTGGGAGTCAACATACGTAATCTACATGAATTTATTCACTAAATAAGAGTGAACAGTTTTCACAATAATTATTCTTTAATTCCTTTAAATTGATTTCATTAAACATGTCATTTACCATAAGCAATGATGAATAATGATTAGCAGTAGAATCAAGGACTTGTGTTTCGTCCTACTTGAGACTCGTCAACTGGATGTATCTACATCGCAGAGTTCACTCAGGGAATCGAACCCAGTCCCATTCGCTTCAGAAATCACCACGTTATCCACTTAGCTACTGAGCCCTTTTGCTTTTGATTGTGTGTCAGGCACTTTTACTGGAATTACTTAAATTAGAAAATATAAGTAATGTAATGTACCACTCGAAGACTTTATACTTTACGTTGAAATCCAACCACTGATATAATCTCTAGTCTCAATCAGTCATGAATAGTCAGTTAGTCAGTCAGTCACAACGTAGAACTTCGTACTTACGTACATCAGTTCGAGTTGCCGTACCAAATTAGCACAGAGATGCAGTTGGCAATTCAAATCCTGTAGTGGTAGAGGTAGATCCGTTCTTCAAAGGGCCTTACCGCCGGAGACGGAAATCCGTGAGGCAAGATGAGGTGTGACGTCCTTAGAGTCAACCTTTTCTTACCCCATCCTTCCTCGTGAGAAGACGGCATCGCTGCAGATGCTGGTTGTCTGAGGGAAACACCTTACTGCTTTCACAACTCTTTACAGTCATTAGTACGACTTTGATTTGCTGCTTTTAGTCTTACCGTTCTCCAATCCACCTGCCTGGCGTGGTAGAACCTACAGGAACATATATTCCAGTCACTATAGCTCGGTTGGGTCATTACGATAGGAAAGCGCGACCACCGCCTCAAGGTAGCAGCTACGGTCGGGAGTCATGAATAGATGCTCCAAAGGATTGAAAAACCTAAATAGAAATACAAACTAGTAAACTGATAACATGTAATTGTTTAATGGGAGGTAGAATAATCCTGACTTTAAAATCACGGATCGATACTTTGAGTAGGTGAAGAGTTAACTTAGCCAGACAATGCTAGGATTTGACTGACAATTGAACTTAGAGATGATTCTGTAACGTAATTGTTATATCTTAACGAATAGTAAATGAATGGTAAGTACTAGGAACTATGTATGGACTGTTATTATTTATATTCTTATTGTATAACTGTTAAGTAACTAGATTATATATATATTTACATTTCTTTTATTATAAGCTTAAATTTAACATAGTGTTTATTATTATACGATTTACTATTTTTAAGTTATCCCCTTTTTATTAGTTACGGTCTCTCATACTCACAGCCACTTTTGGCTTGATCTTGTATAATTTTTATTTTCTATTTCATGGTATGATTTGGTCTAGTTTGCTTGTATAATAACCAAGTATGTCTGAAATATATGATTCAAGCAATGGAATCCGAAATTGTGTTCTGGACTCAAACGGACTGTGTTAGGCGAGAAGAACCAATGAGGACTCAGAGCTAACTTCTCGTAGCAGTCAACGCATCACTGGTTTGGCACAGCGCCAAGGTCATATAAGTCGGTGTTCTAATAGGTACTTTTGTCACGTGATAAATAACAGGACATAAGAACATACCAGTAATAGTCCCTATATATTAATGGATGGCAACTTTTATATTTTATGGTTGACATTAATAACTGAATAAAATGGGAGGGGGGAACATTTGAAACTGAGAAATGCTGGACACTTGTTTCATCCAAGTCTGAAACTCCTCAATAGTGTTACTTGAAACCTAGCCAAAGGTTAAACCTAAGACGCTGAAGACTCCAACTGACCACTTAACCTTCAAACCACTAAGTTGACTTTCAACTGTATATTTTTTTCTAATCCATAATGTAAACTAAAACGGTCCCATCAATTTAGTTCTATTACTAGTTTTTGTTGTTTTTCTTATTCAATTACAATAACTTAACTATTTAACTACACAATAGTAAACTTGCACAAATTAATCTATACATAAATGTTGACTTAAAATTCTATTATCTATTGGGGGTTACCTTTATTTTACTAACTCTATTCAACTATTTATTCACAAATGAATTTCGATAATTTTTTTCAATTTATATCAAATTAATTTCGCGTGCTAGACTGATAGGTCTTGAGTTCAAATCTCGCGAAGTGCGATCATGGATGCGCACTGCTGAGGATGCCCATAATAGGACGAAACAGTAGCTCATGTTTCGTTGTTTTAAATTCTTATCATTGAAAAGAGGGAATTTCACAACCAGCTAAATAGATTTATTTTTAATAGTTGAATTCATGAGTTGATGTAAGCTACATCACCATTGAAAAACTGAAATTACTGAACAGCATTTTCGTCCTGATTTGGGACTCCCCAGAATTGCGTATCCAGGATCCCGCACGTGGGATTCAGACTTGGGACCTTAAGTCTCGTGCAAAAACGCTTAAACTGTAGATCAGTGAGGCGGTATTCAACATTGTCTTCAATGAGTAACTGTCTCTACATCACACATGATTGGACTCCACTGGTCACGGCTTCCCACTAGAACTCGAGGGAACACTTCATGAAACCAGTCACTGGTGAGCACATGATGATTATTATCAGAAAGAAGGTTTTGTGGATATTGTAGCAATTTTTAATAGTTGGATTGATGAGTCAATCAAAGCTAGACCACAATGAAAAACCTGGAAGCATTGAATAACTGTTAGATGTGTACTGCTGAAGAGTCCCAAACTAAAACAAAACGGTCGCCTAGTACTTCCAAGTTTTCCATGGTCATCTAGCTTTAATCAACTCATTAACTCAACCATTAAAAATTACCACAATATTCACAAAAGCCTATTCGGAGTATTAATAATTCACTGAATAACAGAAGAATTAGTGAAATAAGAACATATTGAAAAATATACAAAGATTTTCATGCTTAACTTTCACCGATATCAATTTAACATAAGGATCCAGAATTATAAACTACTCTTAAATTATGCCTAATTTTTGAAGCTATTCAAAGTGATATGTGTATATTATTAACATAAGAACGGATATTATTGTCAATATGTTTTCAACTATGACCAACGTCCAACATGATAGGACTACTTGTTAAAAAGTTTTTTTCATGTTGATAATTAGTCATGTCAACTTTATATTAGGATCTTATGATCGTTTAAACCTTAATCTGATTGAATATCTAGGCCGCTTATTCCTGCCATTTAGATATTTCAATAAGTTATCTATTTTCTTGTTTGTTTTAACACATTATTATGACTATTTGTCTGATAACTTATTCAGGTGTGTCTATGTAAAGGTTTATGACATTTTGTTGTACAACTTACAAAAGAGCCTAATCAGAGGCATCGTAGTTTCGGACAACATACATCAAAAACAAGATATATTATTCAAATATCGATTCCTGAACTGTTAACATGTTCAATATTTATCGTAAGGATTGATGAAGAAATAAGAAAAGAAAACTTGTTGAAATACTTTTTCAATAATTAAGACCATGGGTCAATTGAAGATAGACCACTATGAAAAACCTGGGAGTATTGAATGGCCGTTTCGTTCTATTGTAGAAATCCTCAGCATCGCGCACCTATGACCCCGCTTTGCTGAACTCGAACCCAGGACCTATCAGTCTCCCATCATGCACTTAACCAACTAGATCGTTGAGCCGGCATCCAATGGTATTAATGTATAATTTCAATGGCCGTCCAGTGATTCCAGGTTTTCCATTGTTTATCTAGCTCCAATTGACTCATGATCTTAATTATTGAAATTACTACAATCTCCAAAAAACCCCTTCTGATAGAAATACTTTTTGCTGAGAATTCTATATTGAACCAAAAATATGGTATTGGATAAAGCCACTAATAGTAATAATAATAATAATAATAATAATAGTTGTTAAACTAATATAATATTTGGTCAACTTATAACCTATTACCAATAATGATCATAATACTATTCATTATTTTTCTATTCATATTTCAGATTGGATCCACCAAACCTGATGCATTAGCTTTACCATATTTCAGTAAAATGACAGAAAATAAATATTTTTCAAAATTTCACTATAATAATAATACTACTACTACTAATAATACTAATAATAATACTACTAATATTAGTAGTAATAATCATTATAATAATAATAATATTGCTGTATCTGCTGAAGTAATGCGTACCGATTCACCAAAATCATTAGCTTCAATAAAAGAAATATTAAAAAATATACATCCATTATTATATAATTTAAATGAGAATCTAATTCATTCATCTATAATAGATAATGATAAGAATGAAAATATGAAATTATTTATTCATTGTTTATCAGAATATTTATTTACATGTATGAAATTACGTTCATTAGATTTACATGATGAATTTGCTACATTTGTATTTCCATTAAAAAATTTCAATGAACAAATATGGTATAAATATGGAACAATTGATAATTGGAATGAATTATCAATTATTTGTGCACCGAATACAAATTATGAATATATTGTATTGGTAAATAGGTTTTTTGTTTTTTGTTTTGTTTTTTTTTAGTTTTTATTTTATTATTATTATTTCGTTTTTTTTTTATTTCTTTGTTGATCAATTTTCTTTTTGTTTTGTTTTTTGTTGTTGTTGTTTTTTGTTTGTTTGTTTGTTTTTTGTTTTTACATTTCATAAATTTAGTCTCTGATGGAATCTAAAAAGATTCAATTAATTCTATCAATCTACAATACTTATGATAATTAAGTGTTATTTCATAGTATTTTAATGAGAAGTAGATATAATATTTGTGTTGGTTTGTTGTATTATTTAAAGTTGAATTAATTTTGATTTGGTTATTTATTTTCTGAAAAAGTGGTTTACAATTAAGTGACGAAACGTCAGAAAATCTGAGTTTTCTACTCATTAGGATATTTACAAATTTATTAATTATTGATAACAATTTACCCAATACTTAATTTATTCAAAATTATCAAGTCAAAAATATATAGAAATGTTTGATAATGTTTAGTTTGTAAGTTAATATATGTTGGCTAGGAGATTTTCGACTGGTTTATAGACTATCACTACCGAAAAGTTCCATACGAAAACAAAACAGTTATCTAGTGCTTTCTGGTTTCAGTAGTTGCCAAACAGAAGATAATTCATGATGTTAGTTATTTTTGGTTATTTGGATTATTACTATGATACAGGATTGAATTACATGCATTGAATGACATATAACTAGATAAAAATAAGGATAGTGTTTTTCTTCATCCCATTGTAGTATGTTTCAACAAGTTACAAAAACACTGGAAGATAACATCTGATCTTTTAACTCTGAAGATTTATGATAGATATATACCTTATTTTAGCCACTTTCTATCACCTTTATTGATGACTGTAAACAAACAAAATTGAATGATACTCAGTATTATTCATCCAAAGGATGTAAAATTGGATATAAAGATCTAAAGTTGACTAAATTATTAATAGCTCGATGCTTTTTTATATGCAATATACTGAACGTATCGAAAATCAATTAGCCGATAACGTTGGAAATTAAAAGAAACAAATACATTCATCAGTGTTCCAAAGTTTTCAATGGTGATCTAACATTTATCCATTCATGATACGAATCTAAAAATATCGTCAATCAAACTTAGATAATTCACTTTATTGACTAAAATATGATTAGGTAATTCATGTTAAACTAAAAAATGTGATTTAGATTTCTGGATATGAATTGAAAACCGGAAATAAGATTGAGTTTTAGTATTAGGATGAAGATTAACCGAAAAACCCAATCTCAATCTGAATAATAAATCATGGACTTTAATCTTAACTATAAATTTAAATTGTCAATCCTAAATCTTAATGCTAGCTATAAGTTCTAATCTTAAATCCTGACTCTGAATGCTAAAATCAAACCGTTACATCCCTTATTACAAAATTGTTCTAAGCAACGTCTAACTACTTATAAGAATAAAAGTAGTTAAACAATAATACAGTAATAATTACGTCTGTATTTTTATTGATATAACTTTTTGAATTTTTTTTATTTAATACAGAATACAGCCAATGAATCTTCACAAAAAATAAGATTTCCTAAAAAAACAATCGATAAACTATTAACAAATTGGTTAGATAATCAAACGACAAAAACACCTTCACTTGAAAATCAACATTCAATCGAAAGCAAGAATAATACAGAGAAACATTCTGATGATAAATTACTTCATTCAATTAGTTTAGCTGTAACATTGAAAACTTTATTAAATTTATTTAAAAAACATGAAGAAGTAGAAAGTGATGAACATCATCCTCATCAGCAACAACAACAACAACAACAGCAACAACCATGTGTAGATCTATTTCTAACTTGTATAAAACTTAGTGTATTACTAAGTTTAAGTGAATGTTTAGATAAGAATAAATCAATTCAATTTAATTTAACACCAGAACATATATTACTTATATTAACACCATCTAATTGTTTAACAATTTTTAAACATTATGAAAAATTGTCAAATAATAAACAAAATGAAAAATCAGTTAATAATAATGATGAAATAGTATTGAAAGAGCCAAATGATCTACAAACATTATTAACAATAATGAATATTCAACATCATTCAATTCATGATAGTATCAATGATTTATTAAAACAATTATATGAAATTATTCAACAAAAATATCAATATACAGATATAATTACATCATTATTAAAATCAGTTGCACCACCAGATTGGATAACAATGTGTGTAGCTAGAATATGTTTATATAATCAAACAAATTCATAGATAATCAATTCAATTTTAATGTCATTATTTATACACTTTCTTATATTCATAATCAATAAATAAATATCCCTTAAATACAATGTCATTCATACATATAACAACCCATTTCATATATATATATATATATATATATATATATATATATATATATATATATACACTCACATACATATATACATATATACTCACATAGAAACAAAATTGATCTTATTTTAAACAAAACTGAATGAAAGTGAAGAAAAATGTGTTCTCTATTATTTCGTTGATAAGTACCAAGTATTTTCTTTTCTCTTTTTCTTTTTTCTCTTTTCTTTTCTTTTTATACCCCTCAGGTTATCTATTATCCATACCGACTATTGATGAGTAGATTGTTTCATGTTATTGTTATTGTTGTTGTTGTTGTGGACAGAAATCAATGTTTCATTATTTGTTATAATGTTACTACTTATATACTCATTATTGATTTCTGTAACAGTTTCGAAAAAAAAAACAGTATTTGACTGATCAAATTTATTTTTTATTATTGATGATATAATTTGATTAGAACAATTATAGTAATAATAATTATGATAGTTATTATTATTATTATTATTATTATTATTATTACTATGAATATGATTTATATTTATCATACTTTCTATGACTTTTTATGCTGTCAAGCTTATGTGCTTATTGAAAGTGTTATACATATACTACTAATATGCTACTTATTCATAATTTGCTTATTTAAGAATTGATTTTGATGCAATAGTATTAGTAGTAGTAATAATAGTAGTACTACTACTAGTAATAGTAGTAGTAGTAGTAGTCATGTTGCTTTTTAATTACTCTTGTCAATTATTTTCTTTTTGAAGAAATAATGTATGTTTACTTATTCAAAACAAAAATAATAAAATAAGCTATATATGATTATTTTGTATTGAAAAAGAAAATCAAATTTTGTTTAGATAAAACAATTTACTACTCTATATTATGAGTGTATATGTATAGGCTTATTGTTAAAGATGCTTTAGTAGGAGATACATTTATATAACTATTTGGTTATTTAAAACATTTGATTTAATGTACTCAATGGGTAGTTAGAGAACTTATAAACTTACAAAGTGGTTAGGATATGTATTACATATGACCAACAACCTCCTATCTGTATGAGTAATGTTTACTGATATAAAAGGAGTTTTCAAAGTAAGCTAGGATCAATCAAAATTAGATGTGACATCAGTTTGTGGAGACAAAATTTCTGCTTATCTGATCATTGTTATTAGATGTAGACTACTTTAATAATTATCAGTATAGGGGTTATGAAGATTATTAAGTTTTTGATTGAGATAATGAATCGATTGATGTTAGACCACCATTGAAAACATGGAAGCATTGGACGACCGTTTCGTTCTACTGTTGGACACCACATCACTCTGCATCCACGATCCCGCTTGCGGGATTCGAACCTATCAAACTTAATAAACTCTACAACCCCTATACTGATAATTATCATGTGCTCACTAATGACTAGCTTCGTGAAGGAATTCTCGGAGTTCTGGTGAGAAGCCCTGATCAGTGGAGCGAGTCAGTATCGCGTAGTGACAGGTATCTACCTTAGTAAAATGGAAAATGATCCCGCAATCTCGTGGATTGGTTGAGATTAGACATTAACGCCACTGGATGCTGGCTCAGTGGTTCAGTAGGATAGGCGTTTGCGCGCGAGATAGAAAGCCTCGGGGTTCGGATCCCGCGAGCGAGGTCGTGGATGCGCAGTGCAGAGGAGTCCCACAATAGGACGACCGTACAGTACTTCCAGGTTACCAATAGTGGCTTAATATCAGTCGGTTCATGGTCTCAATCAAATTCTTTATTAATGTTCGGGAAATAATTGTATCCAGTGGTTAGAGACTTCGGTGACATGACTTATTATTAATCGCAATGGTGAATATGCATTCCCTTAGTGTCTTCTAATAGGCTTGTAGTTTTAAAATGATCTTATATATAATGTTCCGAGTTCATTTTTTCTATACCTAAGCCTCCCTACAACCACTACTTAAACTACTGTGAGATTGCTTTTGATAATTAGATCTCATCTTGCTGATGTGATTTGATAACTTGAATAGAAGTGAATGTCTGCTTAATCTTAGGTTGACCATGACTGAATGACTTGAAGAAACCAACTACTGTTACTCAAGCAAAGATAGATAGTAGCTAGCAGTGGTATCCATGACGTGAATTTCGTCCTATTTGGGACTCATCAGTTAGATGTACCTCCATCGCCGAGTTTATGTTCACGTCGGAAGATACAAGTAAAACAACACCAAGTGTATTGTGACTTAGGCTACATTTAACTTATTCTTGGTTCAAAATCTTTTGTTTATTATCTTCTCATTACTTGATTAATTGGTTTAAAAAAACAATCAATGTGACTCATCATTTGAATGATGGAAAATCGTGTCACTTCATTAAAATAAGCATTAGATCAACCATTTCAAGAAAAAAGTGGTTTTCACTTGACTTCTCAATCATTAATCAAAAATAATTTTCAGCTATGAAATATTTAGAAAAGAAACACATCAAACAATCTGATTATTACTGGGTGTTTTTCTCTGTTCATTACACAGAATCACTTTATATAGTGAAATCACAACGAATTGTATCCCCATATCTGTTCCTCATCTCTGATAGAGTATATTAATGGTATAGGTTCACATCAGATTCAAGAGACGTCACACCTTTCACGGATATAATCCACGTGTGTATTATTTGTAGAGACATTGGTCAGTACTTAGAGCTCGACTGTTTATTATAGTTTTTTTTGATATTTTCAAGGATTTGTTTGCTTAACTCCTTTTCATATAAAACAATGAAGTATTGTAAAATTTCCAGATGTTCTAACAAATCTTTACATGTCTCTTTTGGAAAATCAAGAGTTCACTGTTTAGTAGACAATGTATGAATGTTCTAGACTATGAAAAATAACATATCCAATCAATGTCCAATTGATAATTAATCATTAATGTGAATCCTCCTAACATTTAAGAATCAATAGCTGAGCGAAATACATTGAATAGTAAGGTGTCTTATATGTATTTATATCAATAAATGAAACAACCCAAAAATCAACTATTCATTAAAGTTCAAACAGATTCAATCATAGAATGTAATGATACGAAAAATGATTCTGATATGTTTTTTATCTGTAATGACGTATAAGCGCTCAATATCAATGATTTATACAATCTACACTTACATTTAGTACTGTTTTTAAATTATATCACTTGAATTTGCAGTAACTTATTTTCTATCCTCCCTAGACCCATGGAATGACTATTAAACTTGAATTATTGTCATAATTGAGTACTTGTGCTCTACATTGTCACCTGGTAATTTTTGTGATAAGAACATAGATGTGTAGAGGTTCATGTATGCAAATACAATAGGAGTCCATTGGCAGTACCGTTGCGCCACCCGGGTGCCCCCTTCACTCTGCTTCCAAATGCCCTGGTATGGCCGAGAGTGAGGAGGGCCCGCTCTCCCTCTCGAAATAATCTCACACGGCCACGCGTTTACAACCTCTACCAGGGAAGTCCTACTCATCGTCTTCTCGTGGAGCGGGTGTTGTTTATGAAATCAATAGGACAAAAACCGGATTCCAAACCAATGGTGCACATGGGTTCCAGTATCCGGAGGGAAAAAATGGCTTATGAACCTATTGTTGGTCAACGGCTACCATGGGAGTACAATCCTCACGATGCTCACTGCCTTGTTGGTCAGACCTTTAGGTCAAAAGGTCGAGGTTTATCCCCCTTAGAAAACCACTTGCTTCGATCTGGGCACCCGGGCAGTATCACATCCCACACACAAACAGAATGGAATGACGATATTTATTTACCGAGTCCACTGGATGTTATAGATAAGCGAAAACAGTCGGCAAATCAAAACAAGCAAAGTTGACACATGGATTGTTTCCTAATAGTCAAGAATGATAAAAATGATTAATGTTACTTAAGATTTAATTATTATTAAACAGTTTAAAGACTCATTCGTCATCTGTTAATTGATAAATAATGCTAATAACTTAACTGAAAACACATCCAACCGAAAGACTGAGAATAAGATATCAATGATAAATTGTATTAAGAAAATTTAAAAACTAGAAATTTTGATCAAGTTTTGTTCTCTGAACTGGATGGTTTGATCGTAGAGTTTTATTGTTCTTCTGAAAGACATCATCAACTTCTATCTGAAATTTGTGCTGATGATGTCGTTCAGAAGAACAATGAAAGTTCTACGATCATACTATCTGGCTCATAGTACAAAACTTCATCAAAATCATCCACCTGAGCTACAAATCTTCCCCACTATCTCAAAAGCTATGAACAAGTTTTCTTAGTACGATTGTAAACTACTAATGTCGTGGATTAATCAGTGTATATACTTTATATAGGAAAAGTTCCCATCAATCAAGATTAATGTAAAGAGATTAATAGTATGGAGAAAAAATACAACAGACATTCCTTTGTTAAATAAAGTGAATACTTATAGATTGAAAATATGAATATTGTGGAATAAAAATTATAAGCATAGAGACAGGATTATTTAGAAATGAAATATTAATATGTGCCTTAGAAGATAAAATAAGATTGACTGACTACAAATCAGATAAGAAGTGAGAATTAATAATTAGTGTCATTTGTGAACGAGGTTACCTTGGTAAGGCATGATCGATAACTGTTATGACGGTTGGTTTTACTTCGTCTACACGTATGAGACGTCAATTTACCTTAGATGAATATCTACATTAGATTCCCTCTTAATGTCTATTATTCTACAGGACTTCAACACAACTCAGATCAAGAACAAGTGATTAGCCTGACTAAAATGTAAATAAATTTCCACACTAAAACCCGACACAATCCAACAACAATGAACAATCAATAACAATTATTATAAGGATAGGGGAATATATAACTCATCTAACACATGTCAGACTATCTACATGTTTGACTAAACAGACGATCAATCATTATCATTCTTGTCCATACATCAATAACTGAATGCTTTAGATCTTTTTGTAATACTTACTTCAGTAAAATGTAGTAAGTTTGATGTTCTTGGTTGATTAATTATTTTGAAAGACTAATTTGTCCAAATCATGACCACAGTCAGTAGTAGTACCTCTGAAAACGTCCTATCCTTTTAGTTTAAGCTTCTGTGAAATGTTGCTTATATATGCCAACACTAATTCTTCTTTCTGTTCGTCCAATGTATATGCTTTGGCACATGCATGTGAATTATTTCATATAATTATAAGTAATACTAGTTGGGAATTTACGACCATCCCAATGAGTGATTCATTTGATACAGTGAGATCATCTTGGCATCCGGACACGTCATTCTTGTTATGACCTTTAATCTGGAATCAATTTTTTCAATTATTTCATCACTATTGGACTAAAGTTTTAGGAAGACAGGATTCTTCCCAACCATAGAATACTACTACTGTTTCCTTCACTTTCGTCCTTCCATACTTCAAGAATTTTTGAAGATAACTATCATTACGAAAGCATAAATAAAATAATTAATTACTTCTATACAGTACAAATATGTATACCTGTTCATTAAATGAGTTCAAGGTAAACTGAACTAGCTTTAATTAAACAACTAACCAATCATAATTCAATTGATCTGACGGTGCATCAAATATATAATTGATTTTCTTATTAAGCCTTTAATTTCTCGAACAGAAAAACAAACTTTATTAGTTGATTATTATATTGAATGGTTGGATGATGTATTGTAATGCCAACTGAATAACTGGAAAGTTGGACAGTCAGAGTTTCAACTCACTGGTCTAAATATGTCGTGCTTAACTCAGGACCTGAAAAAACCCTTAGTTCATTCTTGTGTGAGCCTTTTGAACAGTTAGCTTCGAAGTAAGATGTAACTTTATTTTTTAGTGGCCTTACATCTGATGAATAAATATAATGGAAATTGAACAAATTTTTGACAAGCACCTAAACGAAAATCATATAGCTGAAGGATACTCTGCACTAAGTGACAAATTTTGTGAATGATATAACAGAGCACAGCGATATGACGACAGGAACTGATCTGGACTGGAAACACACGGATCGATAACAAAATCTGTTGTTAGTGTGAGGTTGTGAAGACTGCTGAGTTCGAATGGGAAGATGAACCGACTCAAGTTAGGAAAACTCTGAAGCATTGGACGGTCGTCTCATTCCAGTATAGGACTTCTCTGAAGAACACACCACACGAGCCCAGGACCTTCGTTCTCGAGCATAGACACTTAACCTCTGAACAACCTAGCCAGAATACAGTGGTATGCAAGTCTAGCTTTAATCAATCCGTAACATTGTACGACCAACTCTCTGTTTTCGGTTCCTTGCTGCGAGCTCGTTGATGATGCGCACGGATGGAAAGTTCCGTAATAGAATGGAATGACCATCAATTGCTTGCATGTTTTCAATAATTTTCCATCTTAGATCAGTCCTCAATTTCAATGAAATCCCACCATTACCCGCGACATATGATGCCTTACTTGCAACAAAGCCATTAGATAATTGTTCTATTTCGAGACTGGCCATCATAAAAGAACCGGATGAGTCCACTGTCGAAAGCAGTCCTTTCTATTTGCTCGCAATTAGTTACTTTCCGAAACACTAAACGAATAGACTAGTGAAATCACTCTACAAATTAAATTTGTCATGATTTTCGGTCCCTAGCCTTTGATGTGTAAGACTAAGATGAAGCCATACCCCCCCCCGTTAGTGAAAACACTACTTAGGACCAAATCATTCAACACTACATTGTCGTTATTCTGTTTGTTTCGCTGTAGTGAATTGTTAATTTCAAAATTTGTCCCTAACTGTCTACCCGGTGGTCACTTTGGTTTAGCGTTTACCTATCATCACATTTTAATTCAATAAATTATCTACGTGACAAGTAGGTTTTCCATCTTACGCACATAAATTACGTCTAACAAGAAATATCACTACCACTACACACTAAGTATGAAGACGTGAACAGTACCACCACCCAGGAGCCCACATCTACGTATGTAGAAAGTTTGATTCAGACTTTAGACTGAATGACTATAGGTTCATTTGCTTAAGCTACCACCTAACACAATCAATCACTGTTAGATGGTTGGACATATTTGGCAGGAAACCCTGTTAGAATTTTAGTAAAGTGTACCTTTAATTTTGAGGATCTAATATTCTCTTTATGAGATTAGAGAGCATATCACAAAACTTTACAGTCAGAGATATTACTACTCAGCTATTTGAACCACCATCGACTTCTCATAAACTGAGTATATGATAAAGTTATGTTTGTCCAGTTCTTTCTAGTATAAATCGCTGAGGTTGTAGTGTAATCACACTGATTAAAGGAATTAGACACAACGTGCACTATGCTGACATGTTAGATTCGAAGACACAGAACAACACTAACCAACATGAAATCCAAAAAGATCTTTGATCATTCTCGTGTGCATGTGTTTGTTCTTTTTTTGCGAAGATATCCTATCTAAACAAAATTTGAGCCAACGCAAGTACAAATATGTAAAACGTTTGACAAGAAAAATAAATTATTAGCAACAAAAATAACTTTAGTTTTTATTATCTTTGTTTTCATCGTTTGAGTACTCGTATTAGTAGTAATTGGTAGTAGTAGTAGTAGTAGTAGTAGTAGTAGTAGTAGTAGTAGTATGTAAAAAAGAGGAAAAATAAATTCTTTACAAATTCAAAACAAAACTAACTAGAACAGAAGATCCATAATTGAAAACATCAATGGATGGATACATAGACAATTAAAATGAGCAATCGCAAAAAAAATAAACGAACAGAAAAGGAATGTTAGTGAATGATTATGATTTTGTATATAAAATATCATAAATCGTTTTATCAACCAAGAACCGGCTCCATGAAATAAGCAGATAGAAGGAAATTTCCCGTAAAAAACTAGAATGAGAACAAGAAAAACAAAAGTGATCAACGTCCAAATTGTCTATAGAAAAATACAAATGAGCATAAAAGGAGTTAAATATACAATTTATTAATACGAATAATTATGATAACATAATACAGGAGCACGGATAATTATGTGTTCAACTTCAGGTCTAGGGGTTATATCGCCTAAAACCATGTAACCACAAATTAAATTTATAGGATAAGCTTTAAACCAAGAAGTGTACATCTAGTACTCATCAAACGACTTCATCAACTGATGCTACTTTTTATCCAAACTTACTCTTATACTATGTAGGACTGTATGCTGAGACAGATGGCGGCTAGGTAAGTATAACATAGGTCTCAACTAAATTCGTTGGTGAAAATCCAAAAGATTATTGATCGGTTTACTATCCCAACATAACGGCCTATGTGTAACACAGAAAATGCTCGCTCAGTTGTTTTATTATGCGTGAGAAATCTCAATATAGTATACCTCAAAAGGTTATACTTCACAACAATATAATAGTAATACAAAGTAAACTGCTGTGCAGTATTTTCACTTTTTGTTTCGTTGCGCTAAATGTGGGCTTAAATTGCGAAAACATCAAACAAACTTTATGTATCACTCCAAAATTACACTAGGATACAGTAATTCACCAAAGCTCATGAGTCTTAAAAGTTAGTCGGTTATAGGCACCGTAACACGTGGCATATATATATATATATATATATATATATATATATATATATATATATTGTCTCGATGTGCCACACTAAACCGACACAATGACATGGAATTATCAAGGAAAATGTAAGAGTAGTTAGTGGAAGTAGTAACAGTATCAGTGGGACGGAAAATAAGAACAACGATAACAATATGGTGGTCCAAAATCGGTAAATCGAATACCGCTATCACTTACATATCATCAATATACATAAATATACACAATTCAATTGTATTTATATGTATTGTTGCGTGAATCAACTGGACGTCGTTTAACTCGGGATAGATCAGGTGATAAATTACAATTCATTGACATAGAAAACACTTTGTAATTGATTACCTAAATTAACAAAATGGATAACAACAAGAAACAATGGTTAAACATGCTAAATTTCTCTAATTATTATTTTATTAATGCGATTTTGTTTAACTGCTCTTCGTAGTTGGGATTAAATCGGCAAATTCTTCAAGATTCAGGAAGTGTTTCACAAGCCGTACATTGGGTTTCAAGTTTTAATATTTACTATAATTGTGCTATTCATCTAGCAAGTAGGTTGTACTACATTGGACATTTTCGAAGCAGATAGTTGCAAATAACTTTCGTTGTTTGAAATAAAATGTTTGATAAATATTATACTCTGATATATTACAATAATCAACCACTAAATCAATGAAAAAATGACCCAAAATTACTAGGTACAATATACTTGATGAAGGCTTGAAAACATTGAGGATAACTTCAGACCAAGTGGTTGGAAATGGAGTTGTCGTTCTTCAGTTTTTTTATATGATACTATTGATACTATTGATAGTATTTATATCAATGCGGTTAAAACTACTATTTAGACAATATTCTTCATCTATTAAGTTACGGCCCGTAAATGCGCTCGTACAGCTGAGAATGGGGAGAGTCCGCTCCCCCTCTCGGAATGCTTTCACGTGATCACGCGTATACAGCCAATTCCAGGGAAGTCCTACTCATTACCTTCTCATGACGCGGGTGTTGTTTACGAAATCGATAGGACAAAAAGCGAATGTCCAGCGCTCTAGCCGGGTTGGTTGACATGGAGAGTTCACCCAGGGAAGTTGTAAGACCCTGGCTCCAAATTAATTGTCCACATGGACTCCAGAATCCTGAGGGAACATATGGCGTATGAACCAATCGTTGGTCACCAGCTACCATGGAACTGCATCTCCTGACGTTGCTCCACTGCCTTGTGGATTAGACTTTTAGGTCAAAGGCTCGGGGTGTAGCCCCCTAGGAAAACCACTTGCTTTGGTTTGGGCACCCGATCAGCAAACCAGCTCTCACACAAATCAATGATAACTGTGACGCATATTTATTTGGTTTCCTCTTGTATCAATGTATTTAAATAAAATAAAATAATTAAATTACAATATTTGTTCAGATTATTGAACCAGTATATGAAAAAAGTAGACATATAAAACAAAATAAGGTTATATTTAAGACTAATAGATTAAAATTGAGTGTGAAATCCGTGTAAAATAAAACGTCTCCATGAAAGGGCAACCAATACGCTGAACAAGGTAGTGATGTTGCATAGTAGGATTGCAAATCGTGTTGCTCAAGTTGTATGAACACATTTAAAAAGAGGATTAATAAGTTTTCTTCTCAAAAAATTATTGTATGGTGTATTTTACCATTATATAATGAAAAATTAAACCTATCCTGACAAGTTCAAGTCAAGTAGAATTCTAACAAAAAACTAAATTGTCTTAAAAATAGTAAGAGAATTCTCCCTATCTATTACCACGTATCCGGTTAGACACGTTAGAATCATTCACTATGGTACAGATGCATTTAATTTTTGTCTTCCCATAGATCTTAATATTTCGAATTTCTTATACACGCTTTTCATTTCATTAATTCATACTTTATTCTCGAACCGTATATTAGATGCTTGGTATTTTTTATTACTACTGATACTGTTATTAGCTCTGCTAGTCTGGGATTCGCTCTAACAATTTTATTTCTTCGTACTAATCAAATGTAGTAACTTAAACCTATGTAAACATGTTCTACGTTGCGAATGGCTGAGCGACTTACGAATCAGAACAATTCTAACACAAATAAGTGTTTTTAAAATGAAGGAAAATCACTGATAACCAACAAGATGTCCTACAATTTCAAACTTTTGAATATAAACACATGTAAAATTTATAACTCTTCATAAGATCAGTAGAAATAAGGAATACTTTCTCATTCACTAGGATTCTTCGTACCTGTGTCATCGCACCACAGGATTGAGCTGTGCAGTTCGGGTTGTAAATGTCCTATATGATAACTAGTTATCTTGCAAAACCAAACATTTGACACACTAATTACCTTGCAGTTGATTATCGTGTTTAGGCAACTAACAGTTGACTTATCTACATTTCATCACTAAAACAACTAGTCAATAATTACACTATTATTTGTCTCAGTATCGTTCCAGTGATTTTCCGTCCAACTCCAAGTTCATTTGATTACTACATAAATATTCCTTGATTTGTATAACCAACATAATCATGTAAGTAAACTTCTGTTCGGATAATTGTTTTACATGACTAGTCCTCATTTACATACAGACACACACCCAAAAGTATTTAGCTTAAAGCTAGGCTCACAAATTTGTAAACAGATCACTCCGAAATTCCATTTATTAACTTCAGTCTATGGACACTTGTGTACAGTCCTATGATGCCTGCTAGTGACTGATAGTTGTTAATTGGTGAATATTCCCGAATCAATTAGTACAGTGTTTTAACGTAAAGTTCAAAAATTAGAATCGTGATAACAATCACATAAAATAAATTACATATCAATGAATCATTCCAGAAAACTGTGAACTCACCTCATCAAAAAATCGATCCAATAGAAGATCTTGTGGACTTCCAGGACTTATACTAGTGACGGAATTACAATTCTTTAAAATATAAAAGTGAAAATAAGAACTACAAGTGGATTGAATAGAATAGACAATAGAGAAACAGAAGCTTTCTAATGAAAAACATTATTTTAATAAAATACTATTAATATTTGAAAGCCTTATTTGCCACATGTATTTAGAGATACACTTCAACTCCAGAAAGAAGCTAAAACAATATCTGATAATTATCGAGTAAACTGGATTATCGAACTTATCTTGTATAGAAATAAGTCAACTCCAAGTAGCCCATCACTAACAATTCAGTTACACATGTGCAACCAGTAGCTAACTAAAACCGATATCTTTAATGTCTGAGGTTTGTAGGTCCTGGTAAAGATGCGGTGTTTCGCGAATAAATGCGGAGAGGGAAAAGCAGTTCAGGGGTCAGCCTTATTTTTATATCCTATAGTCGTTCTTACGCACTCAGAATCGTTAGTTAAGCATTAGTCATGGCTCCAAGTCTTATGCAATAACAAACCTAAGTCGTGTCCTTGTCTCGTGCTTGTTCAATGTGAACTGACGATGCCACACATCACACTATATCACAAGCGAAAGGCTATGGCATACAGATGAGTATTCTATATACAAGTAATAGGATAATTCACTTCATTTGATCATTTTTAACACTTCTTTACATACCTAACCAATCAAATAGCTACTTAAAAGTCCACCACGTCAATCTGGTCTGATGTGTCAGTAGACTATCCCTGCTGCATGTAACCTACCAATTGAAGGACACTGTTATCCTGTTATATTAGTGTGACTTGTAATTTTAATTCATTTCGATGACACGCAATACTGGTCGGTATGTTCGCGAGGCCCACTTAGTGACTATAATTCCTTTAATTATTGTACTAATCAGATTGCTATCTTTACGTTTAAAAACGGATAAAGTTTAAAGCCAAGTTGTCCTTGTTCTGACTATAGCTATCACATTGACTCTGAGGTCGCCAGTATCGCGTTTACATTCTAGTAGAATATCTGTAAGACAAATTAAATCCTACACTGGCTTCTGATCGTCTCATAATAATGTAAGTTATGAGAACCAACCATGTGAAAATGTCGATACCAAACACAGAAAAACTCCAAGTGGCCAATTAGTATGAGGATAAAACTTGAGATAAGAATAAAAAATATTCAAGTATATATATATATATATATATATATATATATATATATATATTAGCTCTTTGCATTAATACATTTTCCATCTAGGTGTTTGAGTTCCCATATCAAGTCCATATGGTGTAGGTGCTGTAGAATGTAGGCTTTAACCCTTTAGTGAGTCTATCACTAACAACATAAAGCATGTTGATGTGCTCGGGTCAAGTTACTAACTACATGAGCACGAGACATTAATGGGATCGGTAGCAAGGAAATCGAAATGACGTACAAGTAATGCTAATAAAGAGAAATAATTGATGACATTGTTTGAAACGATAGTGCAAAGGTTTGAATGAAGGAATACTGGAATTCAAGATTAGGAGGGAGATAAAGATTGAATGCGACTGTGCCACTGCGAGCAATTCTAAACTATATTACGTAGTCTTTAACCATAGATTATGGTTACTTCGCAGATCTCAATTAGGTAGCCTGCTTCTATCAACATGGCTCAGACCAACAGTCAATAACTTGTAAGTTAGAATCCCACTCTTACCATTTTAGCAGCCGTGTAAACAGCATATCCAACACATATGCAAACTAAGCTAAAATCTTTGTAACCCAATTTATATGATCTTAGTTCACATATTTATGGGACAGATTTAGTGTTAACAGTTGTCACACACGCAAATATATATATATATATATATATATATATATATATATATGACTTACTAGTAGAATTTCTGAAAATCCGTATTCTGTAGCGAAATTCCAGGTTTTGTCTTTTGTTGGTGAAGCCAACAACGACGACGATGAAGATGGTGAAAGTCTTTGACTATCACTTAAATCAATATATACACTTTGTTGCTTTGATGATGACAACGATTGTGGCACTGAACTTGATGGTTCGAGATCATCACCAACACCGCCACTTGCATAATTACTACGATATGTTAAGTTCCATGACGTTGACGATGACAATAATGACGTTGTTGTTGATGGTGTATTTTCAAAAAATTGCACAGACGATATACATGATCTGGGCGTCATTGAAACACATGGATGATAATTGCCAACTGATGGCAATTCATTTTGATGGATATATGGTAACGTAGATGGGTTAAAACGTGATGTGAATTTGTTCACAGACCGTCGACTATGTGAACTAA